GTTTTACCCCCACCACCAATATATACACAATAAGCAGCTGTTTAACTGAATGAATGGCTGAGTTAAAGTAATCAAGTTGTTTGGTTAACTGGTTGGTCGGTTTATCAGAGTCATGATTTGTGGAGTTAGTGGGTTTCTGGTGTCTATGTCTTTCTTTCGCTTGGTTATTTTTTTTTTCTTTTCTTTTCGTTTTTGTTTTTTTTTTTTTGGATATAGGTTTGTGCGCGTGTGTGTGTGTGTGTGTGTGTGTGTGTGTGTGTGTGTGTGCGTGTATATGCATGTGTGCGTATAAATGAATGAATAATGAGAGTATGAATGCCTTTTCGCTTACATAAATATTAACTTGCAAGCGGCAAGGTTACTGTTGTTGTTGCTATTGTTGTTATTCGTACGCGTATATCCCCCTTTTTCTTCTACTAAAAATCTTTGTATAATACACACTTAAATATATTGACTAGAATGACAGTCATTGCAGCCAAGCATCAATTGATAAATTGGTAACTAATGCAGCTGCCACTGCCGCAGAGCGGCAACACATAAACACGGACACACACAAACACACACGCATACACACGTGCATATACATACATTACACGCATATACGCTTACAAATAAAAAACTAGTACAGAGTCTGGTCTAGCACTTCAACTATCAGGTGAATTTATGATAAACAACAAAATCACTGTCAGTTGATACCTCCTAACTACCACAAAACTATTTGCACCTGTCGCCACAAAAGCACCCAATTGCAAACACATAAACACCGTAAATAGTTGCAACAATTTCAATAGTCTTTGCTCGTTTTGTTATTATTATTATCGTTGCTTTTTGTTGTTATTTTTGTTGCTGTTATTTCTGTTGTTATTGCTGTTATTGCTGTTTATGTATTCTGTCTCCCCTTCTGTAAAACAAAACCACGTAACATACAAGCTTTAATAACTGCCTCGCATTATAACTAGTTAATATAATATACATATATATATATATATATATATATACATACACGTATATGCATATTTATTGTGATCAATTAGATGAGAATAAAATTGTGAAAAGGGGTTGCTTAAGAGAAGTTCCCTTTATATGAACATAAAATCACATAAAGATATATTTTAAATGTGCCGGGCTAAGGAAAAACAAAACACCTGCCAACAAAAGAAAATTACTTTTAGGATTTCTCACGACAAATCAAAGTCAAAACTCGAAGAGGCTCTTCCTCTTACAAGTTGTCAATATTCAGATTAATTGCTATTAATAGAGAAATTAAGTGTTACGTTAAAAAGCAAACACTTCTTTTGTTTTCCAAATACAAATCGCTATCGTAAAAGGATCTATTCGCATGGCTAAATACACATACACACATATATGTAAAGAAAAATGAATGCAAAACATTCACATATGTTGCCAAGCATTCGATTTTTTTGAGCTTTGAAATAATAAGAAAAAAAGAAATTAAAAAAAAAATTTAATGATACAAAAATTCAAAGTAAAACAATTCAAATAATTAGTTATTTATTTACTTAAAGTTCATTAATTTATTGCTGTATCGTTATTAACATGAACATTGAGAATTAACATAAGAATATTCAATGCAAATTAAACATTAGTTTTGCAGTGCAATGAAAAACACAAATAACGTGGCGTATGATTTACTTTGAAATTTATGAAAATCTATTAATCTCATTCTAATCGACTCTCTTTGAGAGGAGAAATAAAAAAAAAAAAAACTGTAAACGCTCTTCACACAACAAATTTCTAATCATTGACAATCGCAGATATACACACACATTAACTAATAGTCATATACAGCACTCTCGCTTGCATATCAGTGGGCATTGCTTTTAAGCTCAATACTGTAAGAAATTAGAAAATGTAAGAGTAAGGAAGGCAATTAAAATGCAGACAAAATAGCAAAATTTCTATGTTTTTATTTTAAATTATATAGCATACGGCATTTAATAACATTGCATGTGAAGTTAACGACAAAAATTGTACATTTTTAGAAGATATTTCATTATTTAAAGCAATATTTTACGAAATTTAAAAAGTATTTTTAAAAATTTAAATTTATAAGTATTTTAATTTAATTCGTCCTTCAATCACAGAGGGAATGCAAAGTCAAAAGGCTGAGAAGTGTTCAAATACACATTTAAATGTTCTCTTCTTCATAACCATAACAGGTTAAAATGATAATGCATATATATACGAAAAAATTAGAAAGAATACTAATCGCTACGTACGGCGGCAGAACCGAAAATTTGTACCAAGTCTCCTTGCGCGACCTTTAAATTCCTGTGATATTCATCTCTCTATCACACAGGGCACGTTCGCTGTAATTGTAACACGTCGATGGCAAGCAACAGTGAAGATGCAGGAACGAGTGACTGCAGCCTGGTAGGCGGGTATCCAATCGGCAAATGTAATGTTATTATCGACTCGATTGCCCACTGTAATCCCATTTAAAGTATGAGCCGTCCATCGCACTATAAAAATATATCTATTTGTAGCAGGAATTTTAACTATTTATTATCATATTAACCTCAGTTTAGCATAGCAATATTATCGCCCAAAATAATGTAGCTTAGATCTAATCAAGCCGAACGATAATTTCCCAAATTTTGTGAATCGATTTATGACCGGCTTTGGATGATTGAAAATCTGCAAATAATTTTAAAAAAAATTTCTTTCTGAAAGAAGTTGTGAACCAACAAATCTGAGAAAACTCCCAATACTTAATATTATCACTGCGAGCAATTTGCGCAAGCTTGTCGAAAAATTCATGACACAGCAGCTAACTGTTAAGACGCCTTATCAAATTCAACAGCGTACAAATGGTTTGCTCGTTTCGACTCTGCAAATTTCTAAGATACACGCCGACGAGCTGTGCTCTGATCGATCGTCGATAAAGAACGAACACATTGACCACATTATTTGCTTAAGACTGAATATTTGGATACCACTCGGACTAACAGTGAAGGAAATTTGGTGGATCGATTTTCTTCTACAAATTGTTGCTCTCATTTTTGAAGAGAGAAAGAAAGAGAGCGAGAGAACTAACAAACAATAAAAGGCAGATGAACGTAGATATACAAACGGGAGCAAGTCGTGTGTGTTGAGCTGTTGTCGATTGATTTCGGCATAATACAAAATGGCGTCTATTTGATTCAATAAAATTAATTTAGATGTGAATGAAGAATATTTGAACTTTCCCTTTCACTCAATATGATGATTTTCATTAAACACGCCGGACATCATATGCAAACAAGATTTGCTATCTTTGCTTTCATACAACACTCACTTGCAACGTAGATAATCCGTTCACTCGATATACCGATTAAACATACACACATATTTCTATATTTCAATCTATATTTGTTTGCAACTTGACGCATCCGTAAGGCCCTACATGAACTTAACGGCTCATTTAGATATTCCGTTCCTTTTTTCTTTCCGCTTTCTTGTATATTGATTTCTAATGATTGTATATAGATCCTTGGCTCGATCGATCTTTAGGCTTGGAACGAAAAGTGCTGTTAAGAAAAAGTTGAAAAAGTACCTTGAAGTTTTCAAAATTGTAGATCATTATTAACAACAACTAACTACAGTCGATCTCAGCCCACTATTAAATACCTTACACCTTACACCGCCCCACATTTACTAATATATATAGATTCTTCAAAACAGATCGTTATGTGGCCAGTAACCGAAAGCGTTGTCCGATCCAAAACATTTTCGATAGAGTTCGTCCTTGGACCAAAACACGTTCGTGTATCAAATTACATCAAAATATCTCAAAAATTACGGTTTACATGTTAAGGGAGAGATGGATAGACAAGCTTGAAAGCTTGAATTGATTCAGAAAGTAATTTTGGATCGAGCGGTATTATCAAAGTCATTCCGAGTATTGCGTACGTCCGGACAAATCTAATACACCCACAATTGTTGTAGGGTATAAAAACTTGATGCCACTAGTCTTTGATCAAATACAAAAGTATTCTGAAATATGTAGCTTTTTAACTCTCAAAAAGTTGTTCCGATTTCCTAAGCTATATAAAGATAAATTTAAAAACAAAACAACTTGTTTGCGTATTTTGCAAATTTAGTTTTACTACATGCAACAACATTTGGAAAGACGTTTTCTTTTCCCTGGATTCGTATTTTCGATATTGTTCGATTCGATTATTCCACTTGTGCTTGGTTTACGTCCAAAAGCGCTTACGTATCAAAATCCTTGGACAGCCATCTCCTACACTTTCAATATAAATGTATGTTAACTTAGAAGAAGCTTTCTGACTAGACCAAGCGTTAGGCTTATAGTTTTGATATAAATAAAAAGTTGATTAAGCAAAAAACAATGCATCGCCAGGGGTGCCAAGCCAACGTTATTATAGTGCCTGAATAATATAAATAATATAAATTATGGGGCGGTTCGCCATATGGTTGTTGTCTTTGAAATGCAAGATGCGCGAAGTAGAAGATGGAACCAATGGTTGTTTATTATAATTTTTCGGAAGAAAATTATTAAATTACATTTAGTTATTATCGCTAGTGAAAAAGCTTTACGAAAAGGGTTAAAAATTTTGCCTAAAAAGCCTTTATCTATAAAAACGTTGTTTTTGTCTTAAAAACCCTTAGCCAAGAAATGCATCGATACGACTCGTACTATTGCCAAGCAAGAATATCATTAACTTATCGTGTAATACTGCAGTCTGAGCGACAACCTTATTTGAAAGGTTCATGGCTTGGATAAATAAAATTACAAATTCATTTATATAAATTCACTTAAAAGTACTTTATTAATACATAAATAATAAAAGTAAATACATGATAAAGGAAATCTTAGAAATTCTTATCACAGCTTGCTCGCTCGCTCTTTCTCTCGCTCTCCCTCTTAAATAATAAATATTTTTACAGAATAGTTTTTATATCCCAAAGTTCACTTTATTTAATAAAAGGCAAAGAATAAAAAGAAAGGACGCTTCAAAAGCTAGCTTCAACGATCAAAAACCATTACGTAAAAATACTTCCTGTAGCTGTTGCACTAACTTAAAGCCTTTTCTATTTCCTTTTTTTAATAAAAATCGTTTAATTTTGTATAAATGTAGGACAGCGTCGTAATTATTGGTTATTTTAACATTGCAATCTCCACTTTCATCTAATGCTTTAGTTGTTGTTGTTGGTGTTATTGTTGTTGTTGTCGTCGTTGTCGTTGCTATTGTACCCTCAATATTACTAATGCATGAATTATTTACGCTGAAAGATTTCCCATCTTCCGAGTCCGAGTCTTCTATCACAATAATATCGTCATCATTGTCAGCATAATGATGATCATTCCTTTCCTCTTTTCTTAAGTTTTTCGGATCGTCTTCATTATGTAGTGCCTTATCAGCTATTTCCACTTCTTGCATGATTCTTAAGAAATCAAAATCTTCGGAAAATTCATCACTGTCGAGAGAATTCTCCACCAAGAACGTCTTATTATCATCTAGTTCGTCACTCTCGATCGATTTCCGCAAGTTCTTATCACTTTCAGTAACTGATTTATTATTGCATGAGTCGCAACTGTTGTTGTTGTTGTTGTTGTTACATGTCTTAGTTGTTATAACATAATTTTCGCATTTCCCATTTAAATCGATTACATCAATACTTGTCCCTTTAAAACATTGCTTTGCTTCATTAACAATTAATGATGATTCGTCCGTCAGATCAGTTATGTGAGTTTTTTGATGAAATTCCATTAAATTATCATAACTTGTATTGACGCAACAACGCAACTTTTTGCGTTTCGAATTGAAGTGAGCTTTGGTTATTAATTGATTAATTGAGCTTTCATCAGCTTGTTTCCGCTTTTCCGACATTTTAATTTCCTCTATCTCGTCATCGTTCCTTTCTAAGAATTTTAACAAGTCAAATATTTCACTGGCCTCTACTACGCCCTCAAGTTTATGATTTTCTAAGAGATTATCATTGCTTTTGCTTTGCTCCATGTTATTATTATTATTATTATTATTATTATTATTGTTGTTGCTGTTGTCGTTTTTATTTCTTGTTGATTCTTGTTGAAGTTCAGTGGAAATGTGCTTGAAGGAAAATCGATTCTTTTCATATTCCATAACAGGCGGAATATCCTCCATCGTATCGTTGGTTATCGATTCTTGCTTAATATCAGAATCTCTATGATCGGAACGATACGCGTAACTAGCTTGTACATCTACATAATGTAAAAAAAAAAAAAAAAAAAACAAACAAACAAACAAACAAACAAAACGTCCCAAAATGATTAGCAATTTTAACGTTTGGCAGAAGCAAATAACTTGTTCATCACTTTAATATCACATTAAAAACGAAACATAAACATAAAAAATATGCGAAATCCCCACGTTAGGTTCAAATGTGTCAGTTGTCCGATAAATGAGTTGTATTTCATCTATTATTCCACGTTATGTTCACGCGGACGGACGCACGCTGATCACAAGTGTCTGTGAAGACCACGTTTTCTGAACACTAAAAACGATATCACAAAATTAGCACCTAAACCAGTCTTCGATAGCGCATAAAATGAATTTCAAGGCCATGTTAAACTACAATGACTCAGCGATGTTTATAATCATGAAAAGTGCAAAGATTATATTCCTCTTAAAACGAATCCTTCGCAATTATCAGGTAAAATCCAAAACGGGCGTGTCAACTGATCAATCGGGATAATATTTCTACCGGATCTTTGGATCAATATCTTTTATAGGCTATAATAGCTCCATGTTTTTTTTTGGCTATTGTGGAGCTATCTCCAAATGAATTACGCTTAGGTTTAAACCCAACTTGTGGCCATCAATCAAGAGAGTAAATAAAGCTTCAACTGTTTACCCAATTGTTTCGACCGCAAGGATTCTAATAACAAAGGAGAGAAAGAAAGAGAGACAGACTGATGGACTGACCAGGAGAGATGCTTAAACCGATTACGAATCTTATTGAAAAAATACATACTTTTCGAATGTAACAAGCACAAGGACAAGATATCCCTATAAGTTTAATGCCTGCATGCCTGTCTGCGAGACTGATGGCGCATCTAATAAAAAAATATGCCGCTCACCGCGATAGTCTAGGTCGTCACCAAGTTCCAAATTGAGATGAGTTATATGGACATGTTTCCTGCTATGGTAAGAATCTACCTAAAGCTATGGCTGTCTATACATGGATTGCACATCCACTTGCAATGAAAGTTAGATAAGAAAATATATTCACCTATTCCATCAAAACATCGTCTTTATATCGCATTATAAATTTGAGGGCCCCTTATCTGATAGTTGCGATTGAATCTTTTGGTCCGAGTCTTTCGAACGAGTTCAAATTAGAACACGAACTTACAGAAACAAAATAAAAATTCTGGCCTTTCCAGGCTATAATTTTCAGGGTTATTGTCTACGACTTCAAGGACGGATTTCGCTTAAGCTGGCGAAACTATACAAGAAAACTATGGAAGACAAATTATTTCTTCTACACAAAGTCTTGAGGTAATTGTAATCATGATTTCGTGAACGGGCATGTCTACACCGATTTCTCTATCGACATTAGCAGGAAATATATATATAGCTTATGGAGTTTCGAGGGCATATTCATTGGGCAAACTCTGGCTACCTCTTGCTTTGGCGACGATCATTGATTTTGACTTATCCTGATATGGAGGGATTAAAAGACTTTTAACCACTAAAGCAATTATCTATTGCTCGTGAGGTAAGGCCTCTCTCTCTCACCCTAATAATGCAAAGCTTCCAAGAAAAAAACTTAAGACGTTATAACCAAGCAAGGGATACCCTACCTTGCATACTGTACAAAACCTACATCGTTATAGAGCGAATGATCGAAAAAAATATTCCAATTCCTTCTACCTTTCATAGGGCTTTAGAACTTTAGGTAAAAACATCGAAAGATAAAAAATTTTTCAAAAATCGCGATTTCGACGTCGAACATGAGAATGCATGGACAGGTATATGGCAGATAAACGATTTAAATCGATTGGGACAATGATTCCAACGCCATTGATATAATCATAGGTGACTTCATCTCAAACCGTTCTAGACCCACAATGCAAATTTAATATTCCCTATATTCCAATGAATATAATTGTAAACCTAACGCAGTGCAAATGGCAAATGGATGTATGAATGTATGAATTGCTGTGAATTACTCGGCAATTCTAGGCAGTTTAGCTGAGTAACAAACAAGATATAGTATCCCTTTCATGAATTCTTTAACCCTTGCCCTATAAACTTGGCATGACAGTTTGTATTCGTATAGGAGACCCTTGGTGAGAGAAGATCCTTGCTATATTTTTCTAACCTTAGTGCAGCCAGTCACTGCCATATGTACACGCCATTGACTGGTGTGGTGAACCAAATGACTGCCATATATAGAGGACAGGTATTGCGAAAGGATTAATATCCACAACGTGGCATAACTATTTTTATACCCATCATTATTAGTGTGGCAAACATGCGCGTATTAAGGTAGCTACATAGTTCATCTAAAATAATATTTTTTTCATACTATCAAAGTTACTTGTCAAATCGTTCTGGCATAAGCATATTACTTAAGTTTGCTTGAATAGTTGGCTGACTAACTTCGTTTTATAAAAACGTCCAGGTTGCAAGCACAAATGACCGCAACGAACAATAAACAGGAAAAATTTGTACACGTCCATTTAAAGTTAACTTATGTTTACGATGTATCACGACATTTGACCCATGATTGAATTGATTTGACCCAGATGAACAATATATGCAGCCTCAAAATGAGTGGTTTATGCCTAAAAACTTCTGGAATTTGAACCTGCATGAAAGATAATGGACAAGTTTCGATAATCATATAAGCAAAATGCAAGAAGAGGGACGGAAGTTGTTTTTTAATTCATTTAAAATTTCTGTACGTTAAGAAAAAGCGTATTTAAAGCAATTTTTAGAATTAAATTAACCTTTTACAGTCTAACCACTAACTTCTTGGTTACTTTGCAAGAAATATATGAAAGATGGTCTCAAAATAAATAAATATTCCGTATACGATACGTTTAGTATTTAAAAGAAAAATAACATATTTAATTATCTAAATTCTTTTATTCTTAAGCAACGTCGAGTCTAAGTCGTCCACGTCAACACGTCTTCGATCTTGGAATGGAAAGTATTAAAACTATGTATAAGAAAAGTCTGAATATGTAACTTACCGTTTCCCATGTCCGCTAGGAGTATTCTTTGGAGCATTTCATTATCGATGGCATTGGTAGAATCTGATATTAATATTTCCTCGTTCTCAAAATATCTCTCCTCTTCACGTTTACACGTGAATCGAGTTTCTTCTATCGCTTTTGTTACCACAATATCATTATTTGCGATATTTATATCCATTTTCATATCATCATAAGAATAATTATCTCTGCAATTATCCACGCCTTCATAAAGTACATGCTCATTTAAGTTTTCAGTTTCTTTTAACGTTTCAAAATCAAGGCGGTCCATGAATTTTTGAAATGTAGACAGTGCTATATGTGGCCTTTTGTCTGTTAAAATATTTCTAATTTCATCGAGAAATGCGAATTTAATAAATTTGGTTTCACTTGTTGTATTGTTAGTATCGCTCAGGTGTTCAATCCAGGTTTCTGAACTTGATTGATGATTAGGTACTCCAAAAATTTTACGCAATAACTTCAATTTATCTTCTACGGTATCATTGCAGGCATGATATTTACCAAATAAATTACGTTTGAAGCATTCGAGCAAGATAGCATCAAGAGCGGTTATATCATCTTTGATTTTAGAGCATATTTTTGGTCTAATATTATTACGATTATTTAAAGTATGCATTTTATTATCATATACAATGTGAAAGACGGTAAAATGTTGGACTGAAATAAAAAGAATGCAAAAAATGATTCCTTCGCTTTAGAAATGTTTCCAAATAACTGATAACTAACTTTGCTCAAGATTTTCGAATCCTTGTTTTTCTTGATTTGTCAATTAATTCCTGACAACGGACAATTTACAAACAAATTACCTGAATGGATTTGTCTGTAATCTTTATAAATTTATAACATTTACTTTGTATGGTGAAAATATATATTTTCAAGTATAAATTTTTTATTTATTTATTTATTTAATAAAAATTATACACAACTAAATGCTTAAATACTTAATTTTTTTTACACATCAATACCAAAATCAGCCTTTATGATAGAAATTGCGAACAACAAAGATGCATGTCAAACAGCTGTTGCCAAAGACAACATCAAATCGATGTGGCAACGCTTTTAAATATGTGCATTTCAAAGCCATCCATTTGAGCAATCAAAAAAAACTTTTTATATCATTAATTTTAATCAACTTCGGTTTGGAGTACATTCTGCACCTGTTCTTCATATTGAATATCTGAAGTATCTGTGTCATTATTTGATGAATTGCCTTGAACAAAATTTTGCCATTCATCTAACAAGGTATTACGTTCATTTAAAATTGCAATTAAATCATTGGAAGTAAAAATACTCTGCATAATGCGGCTAACATCACTTAATGACGGATACTTTTCACAATAATATAAAACTAACAGTTTTCGATAAAGTTGTAAAATCGATGAAAAATTGTTCTGAAATTTAAGCAATAATTTAAACTGATAAAATTTTATAGTAATATTAAACTTACATTTACATTTATATATTCCTTCAAGGATAATCGTAAGAAAATCTCACTAAATTCGGGGAATTTTAAATCGGCCTGTGTTCGCCTAGAATTAAAAGTACAAAAAAAAAAAACATTAATCTTAATTATACATAAAGATTATTATAGTACAATACTTCAATAATTTGTTGTAAAAAATAATTATGGGATCGTAAACAAGTTTGTTGTTGGACATTTTTTAAAAGAAAAATTGTTTTAGCCAAAGAAGAAACAGCTGCAAATTTTAAAGGTATTGCCATACTTCTTGATAAGATATTGCTAGTTTATTATGCCTTGTTTTTTACAAATGTGTAGTTTAAGTTTGTATTCTTCCGAATAAAAGTCAATTATTCATAAAAATGATTCCTAAATTATTCAAATAAGAGCAAAGTGAAAACTATTTTAATTAACTAGTATAAAAATTACTTACAGTCCATAATAAAATAAATTATTTTTTTTATCTTTGGAAGCTGCATATGTGTGAACATCAAGTCCACTTAAAAAAAATAAAAAGTGATACGCAACCCTGCAGTGATGAAATTTTTTTAAGGCGCAAAGTTTTATTTTCTCCTTCTTTTGTATAAAGTCACCTCTAATTGAAAACTTAAAACTATAATAGGTGTGAAATATGTCCACAATTGAAAGGCTTTCTATACAAGGCATACGCAGCTTTGGTGCAAATGCGGATGATACACAGGTAATTAATTTGTTAAATAAATAACTTATATTCTCACTGCTCTCTCTTTTCGATATTAGACAATACGTTTCACTTCGCCGATCACTTTAATATTAGGTGAAAATGGCTGCGGCAAGACGACTATCATTGAATGTTTAAAATATGCTTTGACCGGCGAATGTCCACCTGGTAGTGATCGTGGTAAAAATTTCATACACGATCCAAAAATTTTCAGTTTAAGTGATGCCCTCGGACAAATTAAACTGGAAGTTCGCAATATACAGGGAGCACGTTTATCTATATGTCGTTCCATGAAAGTGGGTATGAAACGCGGGAAAAGCAGCTTTGAGACTTTAGATGCTACGCTTAATTACTTAGATGATGGTCGCACACGAGGGGGTGATTCCATTAGTAAACGCTGCGTGGATGTCGACCAAGCAATGACTCAATTTATGGGTGTATCTAAAGCCATCATAAATAATGTATTATTTTGCCATCAAGAAGATTCCAATTGGCCATTAGATGAACCCAAAAAGCTAAAGGAGAAATTTGACGCTATTTTCGGCATTACCGAGTACAATAAGGCCTTGGATCGCCTTATTAAAATGCGTAAAGAAGAGACGGCAGCCTTAAAAATTAAAGGTGAATTTGTCAGAACTTTTAACTGATGTAAAAAATTGATTTCTTTATCCTGTCTATGTTTTAATAGAGGCTGATTTACGTTTTGCTGAACATTTGAAACAAGAAATGGAAGAGAAAAGTTTGAGCTTACAAAGCTATCGCCAAAAAGCTTTAAGCATCGATGATCAGTGCCGCAAATGTGATGCCGAAATTAAGCCAGTAGAAGAGCGGTTACAGAAAATCTTTAACGTTGAGCGGGAAGTTGGTAAATACCAAGCGCAGAAAATTGAATTACAAACCAAGTAAGTAAAGTTAAAAACTAAATTTCTTCTTTTTTTGTTTTTGGATATTGTGTTTAAATCAATTGAGCCAATAAGAAATATTGCTTACATGTCCAGATAATAGTCATTTGGTATGGCATGAAGAATTCTTGCACACATTTTATTGTAAATGCGGTCACCCATGAGCCTGTAAATTATCCTGATCCTCCAGGGATTAAAGCCTATTTCGTTTGACACGTTCGATGTCTAAACAAATAACAGATTTTCTCTGATCACTTGTAACGGCTATGTTTACAATATGTCTGGTGGCAAGCAATTCAATAAAAATGAAGATATACAACTTTCTGGAAAATGGAAGAATTCATTACATTAATCTTAGTTAACCCGTCAGTAGTATGAGAAGTAGTAATCGGAGAAAGCCCACTTACCAAAAATTACATTAAATTTATTTTGACGAGTTGAGGGTGTCCGTCCAATAAATGTTTTAGAATTTCATTTCCGAATGTATACACACTTTTCTCGATATACTGCGGTAAATAACATCCCCTTGTACGTGCAAATTCGAACTTAGACCGCACTAATGCTTCGTACATTGGTAATGTTGTTTGGAGTTAATACTGACAGATTGCTATTCATCAATTTGATGATGTTATATTCAGCCTGACAGTCTTTGAAGGAATTCTCATAATGTCGTTATCAGTTAATATTCTCTGCAGAAATCGAAGAAATTTCATCTGACTAACTTCAATTCCTTTAATGCAGAGATTCATTTATCGTTTGAGTTGTTTGTTTTGCCGGGGTTGAAATAAGACGGTGGATGCATTCATCCAAGAGAAACTTTGCTTTTAACAAGAGACTATTTACAGCATGTTGAAATGAAAAGGCAGCGAACACTGTTAGCAAATCATTAGCGTATTGAACGATAATGAGTTTTATCAATGGGGCTCAAATGATTGCCTTTACTGAATACGAGCGAATACTTCAACTTTGTCTACATCCTTTACTCACACACGTTTAGATAAAGAATTTAAGGCCCGCAGATAATACATTTGAAGAGGAGCTCGAAAATTTTAAAGAAATGTAGCAAACTTCCGCAAGTTAACCCCAGAAATAATAATTTGTATACAAATTCCAAACAACTGAGAAAATTAAAATTCCATACAATTGGGAATGTTTGAATACATGTTTGTTTACATGCATTTCGGTACTTTAAAGAATAAGCGAATACCAATTATCAAGAATTTTGCATGTATTGTGGAACTTTTGAGAATAAGCGCATATTCGTTCTCAATAATTCAGCAGGTCTTTGTAAAAAATCCATCTGTGCGAGAATAGGAATGCGACTCTGTTGACGTACAGGATGAGCATGACACCATTTTTAGCCGCTTTTTTGACTCGCTATTAAAAAGAAAAACATTTCATTGATATGCATGTTATTCGCTTTAACATTTTGATAAGCATAAGAAAGAGCTGCTCAGTGCTTACCAAATTCATCAGTTTCTCCTTAACCGTTAGGTTCATTGTCTTTATATGCGAATTTTGTCTAAAGTTGCTTAGTTAATTTAGGTATTTATTCAAGCAGGCAGTCAAGCTTCGCCCCGAAGAGTCCCGTGACTGTGTCATATTTTGTTCCCTTAACGTCAGCAGCAGTAGTAGCCCTCTGTATAAGTTCACGTAAGAAGAAGGGCGGGCGTGTTATCAAGATAAGATGAATTCAATTTCGATCTGATTGCCATATGGAATATAACTCTTTAGCATATACCAGTACCGTCTGTTTTACCACTTATTTGTCAATGGCCATTGATACAATTTTAGTAAGAACGCGAACTGCTACTTGTGCACATCTCATTAATCGTGAAAGATTTGTGTTACCTTTTGGCATTCCCAATTGCGGACCCCCGTCCCTTCAGTGCTTTCGTACACACACTGATATTTACGGACCAGTACTGATCAGCACTGCCTGTCGCTGTCGTTTTATTGCGAAAGAATGGAGTGGATCAGCAAATTGATTCTAGCGATTTTCTTTTGAAAACGCAACGGTAATTTTCTTGAAGTTTCGATTTTGCTAACGTCTTTATTGCAATTTCTTTAAGAAACACCATAGAAAGATTGAAGAATTGATCAAAGAGGAGAAATTTTTATTGCACGATTTATTGCCATTGATATTCATATTTATTGGATATGTAATTTTCTTTCATGTCTCGGTAAAAAAAATATTTTCTATTGCCGTGATTATATATAATTAATAATTCACGATCTCTACTCGGACATGTCTTGTTAAATGTATTTTGATTATTTATTTGATTTCAACACAACGCTTAGTACATTTAAGTGTTTTCTCGCAATTAATCATTTAACTGAATATGATGCGTCCATCCGTCCTTGTCGCATTTTCTCATAAAATTTCATTATTATATATGTGTGTTTGCCATAACGAATGTGTTTTCGAAAATATTTTTATCGTTTTTATCAAGTCGTTTCACTATAATCTAATATAATATTGTACATACTCTGCGCTTGACGAGTACGCGAGTAAAGTGGTCGCTAAAGAGGTCGACTGAAGAGGTTAAGCCTTACAAAAAACTTTGAAATATGGCCAAGTCTTCGTTCCATACTTAAAACACTGTTTTAGAATGGGTATGCAATACGGATAGAATAATGGAATTTACCATAAAACTGACCACTAGTGAGTGGTAGAGTATAAAATTATCTTCGTTTCGTGTATTTCCTCCCGTTTTCTTCTTATTTGGAAAATTAAAACCAAAAAAAAAAAAAAAAAAAACAATTTATTTATTTATTATTTATTCTGAAGACAGAAAAGATTGCGAGAGCGAAAGCGAGAGCGAGAGAGAGAGAGAGAGAGATGTTTGAATTGTGGATGAAAAACAGGCTAACTTTAAATTATAAAATTTATTTATTCCAATTTTCCTTTTATTTATTTACCTTCTTTTAATTTTTAGAAAAAAGAATTGCGAAGATCAGATGGAAAATTTGAGAAGAAATATTAAAAATCCTTTTGCCGGATCATTAGAAGAATTGGATGCAGATATTTCGTCATTTCATCAACGGATGTCTGAACAGCAAATTGAAAAAGAACAGGCTGAGCATAAATTGAACGCTTTAAATAAACAAACCAACGATTTGGTGAAACGTCGCAACGATGCCGATAAGCGACATGTTTTACTGATCGAACAATCTGAGAAAGAAAAAAATTGTAAATTAAAACGTAATGAAATGATTAAAGGGCTATGCGAGAAACTGAAAATAACGGTCACAGTAAACTTAATGAAAGAGTCGCGAAATTTAATTGAACTTTTGCAAGATGTGCATAATGAATTGGAAAATCAGCAATCGCAAATAGCTAAGACAATACATCAGCATGATGAGGAAGACAAGAGTCGACAAACAATAATCGATCAATTAAGAGTCGAAATTACTAAACTTAAAGAATCCGTCGCCACGTTGAAGAAGCAAATGCAAGCCTATGAACGTGAGTTGCAGCAAAACGAGAAGAAAATATTCGATGTCGAGAAAGCCGCACAACAATTAAAGGAGATAACTAAACAACTTAAGGAGACTGAGGTGGCTTATGAGAGCGCGTTGGCAAAATTCAATCAAAATAAATTTAAGGATAAAATACAAAACGATAAAGATCAGATCAAAGATATGGAGGAACAATTTCGTCAAGTCGATGAACGTTTAACGTTTTTAAATTCCATTTCCAAATTAACAGCGGAAATCAGTTTAAAGGAGAAAGAGATGGCAAAGCGTGAGCAAGAAGTTAGACGCGTTAAGAGCAAACATAGCGATAATTTCGGTAAAGTTTTTAATCGCGATGAACACATTGAAGCAAATTTTAAACGTCACTTGCAAACTTCCTATGAAAAGTTAAAAACTCAAGTTAAAGACTACACTAACAAAATGAACGAATTGAAATTGAAGGAACAAACGTTCGAGTTGAAGCGTAAGTCATTGAAGGAAGAGATACAGAAAGGCAAAAAGGAATTGGAAGATAACAAAGAAGTAATCTATGAGAAATGTCATGATACACCGTATGAAGAGTTATTAACCAAATCAAAAGCTCTATTAAACGGTTATCAACTAGAACTGGGTGCTCAAAGATCGGCTGAGGCTTTATATAAAAAGTGAGGAACATTAACGATTCATTAAAGCGAATCTAATTTAATAATTTTTATTTACATTTCAATTCTTAATAGGTATTTGCAGCAAATTGAAAAAGAATCCAAACCGTATTGTCCTTTATGCAATAAGGGCATGTCAAGTGATGAGGTAAATTTTTTAACAAGCATTATTTTTATTATGATCCAGTTATAACCAGTTGTTTCAACCTTTGCAGGCTTCCAAATTATCTTCCGATTTAACTGATGAAATACAACATTTGCCGCAAAATATACAAAAGTCTGAAATGTTGTTGAAAACTGAGCAAAAGAAATATGAAAACTTGTTACACTTAAAACCAATTTTGGAAAAAGTAACTCTACTAGAAAAGGATTTGCCCGGCAAAGAGAAACAGTTGAAAGATATCCAAAGACAATTGACTGATTTAGCTAATGAAAGTGAAAACTTTCAAATGCTTTTAGCCGAACCCACTTTCACTATGGACTTAGCCAGTTCTATGATGGGTGATATGTCATTACTGGATGAGGCTCTTAAAGATGTAATACGCTTGAAAGCTGAAATTAATTCTCTCAAGGTAAGTCAAATGTGTATAATTATTTATTTTTGCTAACACTGAACCTATGGGATCATTTCACAAAAATGGGTCAATTTGATCCGTAAGTTTTGCGAAATCTCTACAATCGTACAAACGAAGATAAAAAAAAAAAAACTGTAATTTGGCAACAGGAAGCATTCCCCTATCGATTAATCGAATCTAAGTCTGTCTAACAAATGGTTGTGACCGGCCCACATATACTCTCGTGTAATAAATGAGAAACTGAATTGAAACATTGAAAAAGCACAATTTCTCATATTTACATCCATAACTTACTTTCTATCTCTGCCTCTAACTAAGAAAATATATTGTAATGATCTCATTTTCATTAATACTGCTAAAATGTAATTTGCAAAATAGTAGGCAAAGACCTTCAAAACTAACGGTACTCTACATATAAATATAAACATAAGAAGAAAACGTACAAAACCCGGATAAATGAAACCATTTGATTACCTTGTTCTTACTTACTTATGTATGTATTGCGTTTTATTGAATTTTTTAACAGTTAATTAGGGAGGCGGAAAGTAAAAAACAATATTTTCTACAAAATATTTTTCTTTCCTGCGACAATTACACAAACTGTATGATTTTATTATATTTCTTAATATTATGTATGCACTTTTGCCCGCGAATGTAAGTCCTTCTGGATGGTGATTAACTCAATTTCGTTTCGTTTCGTTTTAAAGTCGTTACAATTTCTCTTTCTGCTCACCACTACTTAAGTCCTTATTTAACCAATAGATCGTGTATATAGAAATTCATAGTTGTTTTATGTGTTGTTTTGTGTCTTTTTAAGGCGAAGTTACCGGAAGGTTCCGAACAAGAGAATCAGTCCATTGATGATTTACAAAATGAGAAAACCACTTTATTGGATAAGCTGAGAGAAATGCGCAAAGAATTGGACTTGAATGAAAAGCACTACGAACGACAAATGGAATCCTTAAATAAATTTATAGAAACGAAAAATAAGTAAGCGCTGAACCTTATATGTTTGTTGCTATAGAGAAAAATTCAATTAAGCCTCTCTATGTTCATGACAGCTTAGCAAGTAAGAAAATTAAATTGCAAGAGGGCGTACAATCGTTACCATCACTGGAAGCACGTCAAAAGGAAATTCATGAACTCTCAAAGACAACGGCCAGCGAAATAGAAGAGAATCAGAGTAAGGTGGCGCCACTTAACGACAAATTAATCGCAGCCATTAAGGATAAAGATAAACTAAAAGAATCGAATCGCTCAACCATAAATGAAATGCAAAAGAAACTAGATACGCTGAAGCGCATTGAACACGACATACACAAGTAAGTGCGCGCTATATATATATAGGGAATATATTAGGTGCTTGCAAAAATTTTGATCATCAACTTCCACATTTGCAAATGATAAAGAAATGGGAAATACTTAAGGTAGGTACATGACTCTTGAATTCGAAGGTTTTCACCTTTCTCTACTTAAAATAGCGCCGACCCTAATCATGGAGCGTTTAAAATTCTTCTTCTTCCAAATTCGTTACTTTTGTTGTTTATTTAAAGAAAACTGCTGCTGAATTCCTCCAAATACGCGCAGAGACGTATAGTGATGCTGCTCGATCACATCCCAATTGTCGGTTCAGATTTCAACGGTTTAAAAGTGGCGACACGAATTAGTTGAAAGTGCATTTTTTTCGGTCACTGGCTGCAAAAGTTGGCCAGGATACACTGTTGCAGCACGAATGGCAACTTCCGCCACACCCAGCTTACTCGCCAGACATAGCGCCTCCTGATTACCGCCTGTTCAGATGGGCAGAGCACGGCTTGACTAGCACGCGTGCCCACAAATTTGAAGAAGTACGAAAATGGATCGGTGGGCGGATTGCTGTCAAATCTCAACATAAGCTCTTTCGACACAATATCGCCCTGTTGCCAGAAAGAAATATGGCAAAAACGTTGTAGAAAATGATGGAAAAGTATTTTGATTAACATAAATTGTATCAAATTGTTTCAAGTGAAAAGATGATCAAAATTTTTGCAAACACCCAATAGGAAAATGAGTCTATCTATTAGTTTAACAGTTAGTTTCTTAATATAATTTTAGATATCATAAAGATGTAAAAGAATATGAGAAACTAAATCTACAACAGGAGCTTGAAACTGTGGATAAAGATTTAAGTAATTTTGGACAACAAATACAACAACATGTAGGTTTTTTTAAAGATTTTTGTAAAATTTAACAAAAATTTCAATTTTGTCTACTTTAGACTGAGAGAATTAATCAGATCGTTGAGAAATTGGATAAAATTAAAGTGGAGCTTGTCGCTCAAGAAACCCTGGAACGTGACCTCAAGGATAATCGTGAATTGATATTGCTAGGAGATAAATGCAAAAACTTTGCTAACGATTATAAAAAACTTAAGGAGCAATTGGGTCGCTTCGATTTCGGTAATATGACGAAAGAAAAGACTGAACTCAATGAGCAACGTGAAAGGGTGACCATACGTAAAGGTGAACTGCAGGGTCAACGAGGCGAAGTGAATCATCAAATCAAGAATTTGGAACGAGAATTAAATGAACCGAAATTTCGTGATTCTCTGCTGAATTATAGACGCAATTATTACGAAGTGGCATTAAGTCGTAACCTATGCGACGATTTGGGTCAACATCGTGTTGCTTTAGAATGGGCCCTAGTACAATTTCATACGGAGAAAATGCAAGAAATCAATCGTTTGATACGTGAATATTGGCGTATGATTTATCGTGGCAATGATATCGATTATATACAAATACAAACCGCGGATGATCCGGAAACTAAAAAGGACGCAAGCGCAGCGAATCGTCGACGAAATTATAATTACCGCGTCGTTCAATCAAAGAATAGTTCTGTCATTGAAATGCGCGGTCGCTGCAGTGCCGGCCAACGGGTATTGGCCTCGCTTATAATACGTATGGCTTTGGCTGAAACGTTCAGTAGTAATTGCGGTGTTTTGGCTTTAGATGAACCCACCACGAATCTGGATCGATCGAACATCTTATCCCTGTGTGATGCTCTCAATCGTGTCGTTGAAGAGCGTCAAGCTCAATCAAATTTTATGCTTCTGATTATTACCCATGACGAGGAATTCATATCGACTTTGGGTAAAATCGATTGCTATAACCGAGTCTCCCGCAACGATGAATGCAAATCGATTGTACGTCGCGTTCAAGTGGCTTAAAGCGAGTTTTCCTTTTTCCACATTTTTCACGCTCACCACCAATTAACAATTAAGTGCACGCAAAGCATTCGTTTGTCATCTCCAGAAAAATAAGTGGATGAACTTTTTCAATTCTCAAGAGCATAATCAAAGAACTGAAACTATTTCTTGTGTGTCTCTCTTCTTTTCTTTCTTTTTTATTATTTTCATATTCTCTTGGATCGAAAAGTCTTTCCAATTTTTATTCAGTATTAGTGAGTTTATTGGAAATGAAAATGACTTATCGGCTACCCTTATAGATATTTTGAATTGTTGCGGTGGCGAGTGTCGGACAATTCAAACTTTAAAATGAATAAACTTTTTTATGGATTAATCTATATGAAGCATTAGATTTTTAATTTTTGTTGTTTAAGTACATTTAATATTTTTTCTTTCACTCGTTGTTGATGGAATTGCGATAATTTAAGCATTGATTTTAACATAAGATTGAGGAATTCCTTTAGATTGTTTTCTTCTTCCGAGTCTTCGCTAATCATATCTTCGTCCATTAATTGGGGCAATTCATCTTTTACAATCGTGCAAACTGGCCGATTAACCCGCATTTCCGGTTCATGCATTTTTTGTACAGAATTCATTTGTGCTTTTATATAAGGCACCAGAAATTCCATTTCCATATAATATGGCCAATCATTGAGTTGCAGGTATTTATCATTTGGATTATGATTACGTGGTATATAGCGTCTTAATTTCTTATTGGCTACATTTTGTAAATGATTACGCAAATATATCCGAAGTGAACGCCATTTACAGATCGCTTCTTCAGCTATAAAAAAAATGAAAAAGAGATTCATTTTATTTATATCGATCACTCAAAACCAATAGAATACTTGCACAACATTTTCATTATTTAATCGAAATTTCAAATGAGTTATGTGAACGCTTTTTTTTTTTTTCAATTAATTTGCTTAGTTTCCGTAGCTATTGCTTATGTCATTTTTAAATCTCAATTTATGAAAGCAAATGATCAACAGCTAAAAATTGCAAAAAATTTAAGGGATCAAGTTGGTTAGAAATCTATGATTGCTTCTTCTAGGCTGTTATAAATGGAATGCAGTAACATATATATGCATAAAAATATTACTATATTATCCATATACAAAGCCAAAGGATAATAGATATCAAAGTACTGTTACTTATGTGCAAACATATTGCAATGTTTTTGATTGCTTGTTGTCGGTCAATTATTACCGTCAACAAGTTAAATGGATTTATATAGATTTGGGAAATGTTTGAACGTAATTGCCCGATAAATTTTCCATTAAAATGAGATCGAAATAATAATGGCCACAGCCATCAACTATTATCAACAATCTTAATAACGCATTTCACTATATAAGATATTTGCAAAAATTTTGATCACTTTTTTCAGTTGAAAAAAGGCATTTATTACGGAAAATTACTACGATATATATTGATCAAAATAATTTCAAAGATTTCCTACAAAATTTTACAATATCTTTGGCAACATGGCGATATCATGTCGAAAGAAATTATATTGATTTGACAGCGGCCGACTCACCGAACCATTTCCGCACTTTTTGAACTTTACGGTGTGCCGTGTGCCAACAAAGCCGACAAATGCTGAACCGATCGGAGTTGTAATCAGAAAGTGCCATGTTTGGAAAGTACACTGGGCGTGACAGAACTTCTCATTCGAATTGCGACAGCGTATGCTGAACAACTTTTCTCAATAAATGCCTAAAAAATGGCATTTTTAGTCAATTCGTCAATTCATTACTTTTAAGCCGTTGAAAGCAAAATCCGCAATTGGGATATCATGAAACCATCGTCATAAAATTCCGAACGTGTTCGGGATGGGATGTCTTCAGCTAAACCGTAGCAGTAATGAATTTGAAAGAAAAAGAGTTTTGAGTGCTCCATGACCAGTATCGGCGTACGCTGAACAACTTAATAATAATATTGAATGGAAAAACTGTCATTTTATGTAGACGTAGGCAAAAACGATCGAATGAAACCATTATGTACACTGTTAGTTGCCATTTTTTTAACATTTTCATTTGTAGAAATCGTTGATCAAAATTTTTGCAAACACCTCATAATAATTCAGTTTTTCATTTGCATCTTGCACTTTGAAAATTTAAAAATTATTGAACAAAAGCAAAGCGCGAAGAGAATATCATTCATTTCTTGATTAAAGATTTTATTCGTAAAAAAAAAAAAAAAAAAAATTAAGCTCTTTTACAACTAATTCTTATGTGTTTCCTTGATGGCGGTAAAAGTCAGCTGTTTAAGCATATATTCGATTGTTAAGAATAAATATAGCACACGGACGTAAGCGAAGAGTTTGCTGTATTTTTTTTTAGAAATCATTTCATTACTTAACAAAATTAAATTTTTTGCATTTTTATATATGTGAATTTGTCGAGATCTAGTCGATATCGCAAGTATATACATGTATATATATATCAATATATATATATATATATATATATATATATATATATACAGAGAGAGAGAGAGAGAGAGAGAGTTGTGGTTGTAAACGTTTACTTACTTTTCGTGAAACCTGACTTTTTTGCTATCAAATCCCATAGCTGCTGTTTGCGTGCACGATGCAGAAATGGTTTACTTGCAAATTCATTCTCATAAATATCAGGATATTGACGTATATTACGTATTAATATTATTTTCTTTTTATCGACTGTCTGCTGCTGCATTTTAATTCAGATAAACCTCAGCATAACCTAATAAGTTAGAAAATTTTTTATTAATTTAACAATGAAATTTAATAAAGCTCGACCAGTATAAATAAATATGAAACAGCTTAAAGCGTAATCTGTCAGCTGAAAGCTTTACACAATAAGAGATCGAAAAGTGTAGAGAGCGGAAATATTAATTGAAACAGTCATTACAGCGCCAAACATATATAAAAAGAGATAATAGATAAGATAGCCGAAGATGATATAGACTTGTCGTCTTTTTTTTCTTCTGGTTTGTTTACATTTACCCGCAATTTCATTTTATTTTACAAACATTATTTCTTTGAAAATCATAAAATCAAAATTTTTCTTTTTCTTCTTCTTCTTTTTAGGAAATATTCTTAATATTTGACGTTAATGAGTAATAATTGTAAACCGAGAACTTTTCGAATGGACTGTGAATAAGTGAAAAAATCAGTTTATGAATATATCTAAAACTATTAGCCATCAAAATAAGGGTTCCCTTCAATCCGAAACGAAAGTTTATGTTAAAAAGAAAAACAAAGCTCTTAGGAATTTGCAAATTTAATATCTTATTAATTAATTTTGAACTTTTCAAATACAGACGACTTTAGGAGATGTTTAAATATCAACAATTTTCAAAGCAACTGTACCTTCATACAGGCAACCATTGCATAGATATCGGGCTAAGAGTGATTCCAAAGTTTTTAATGCTTCCCTAAGAAAATTGAATATTTATAGTAAAGATTTTCATCTTAATTATTACGTTCAACTGTTTCAACGTGCGACTCCGTTTTTGACAGATGCAGCAAAACAGCCACTTTTGGACGCATAAAATTGTTTTGCAAAAAATTAGGAATAAATAATGGAATCATGCGAAAAGTTTACTGCTTATTAAGTGTTTGCAAAAATGTTGACTACTTTTTCACTTGAAAAAGGCACTTATTGTGCAAAATTGGTACAACATATATTAATCAATCGTTCAGTTCGTACAGCATTTACAATTTTTGCCTACATATCGACACCGTGTTGAAGGAATTTACATAGGCTTGGCAATGATCGATCCACTCGTCGACCCATTTTGCAAACTGACCTGTCGCACAAACCATGTTGCACCGAGCTCGACAAGTGGTAATCAGGACGCGCCATATCTGTTAAATACGCTAGGCGTAGCAGAACCATGCCCATTTGAGCATATGCTGGGCTTGTTCATTCAATTCGTGTCGCCACGTTTAAACCGTTGCAAGCAAAACCGACAATCGGGATTTGAAGGAGCAGCATCGCCATAAGCCTTTAAGCGTGCTCGGCAGCACGATTCTTCAAATAAACAACAAAAATAATGAATTTGAAAGTTGAAGAATTTAGAGCGCTCCATGATTCTGTCGCCGCACGCCGAATAAATCATTAATATTAAATGTTAATTTAGATAGCGGAAGGTTAAAACTATCAAATTTAAGGGTTAGGTATTCTGGTGTGTCCCATTCGTTAATCTTTTTTACCTGCAGAAGTCGCTGATCAAAATTTTCGCAAGCATCTAATACATTTCAAAATTTTAACCACAATTTCCCACTGAAAAAATTACAATTTTGATTCGAATTTTTTATAAAATATCTTCAAAAAAGCATTTTTTCGATAAGTTAATTGAACTGTTTTTTTTATTAAGAAAAGTTAATCTATCTTTTTTAATCAAAAATTCAGATTTTTCATTCAAATGCACCATTCCCGACACACAATCACAATAGCATCAAAAAACGCATAGACGTCAGAGCCTTACGAGATAAGGCTCCATGGTAGCGATATTTTATTAGGTCGAGTCTTAAGCGATTTGGAATGCAGGTAGATTGAATCTATTTTTCGTATTTAACCGCTATAAGTCACAGATACAAACGAGTTTTTCTCTTCACTATATAGATGAGGAGTCAGGTAGTATTCAGTCAACTGTTTTTTTTTTTTAGCCTTTAAAATGGAGAGTCGAAAAGTGCATATTCGACTCGTAATGCGTTGGTAATATGCAGCGTATACGGTGAAGGGCTGGTAACTGAGCGGTCTGGAGATACGACCTTAAAGGCGGAACGTCGTTTCGACTTTGACGACAACCTTATAAAGACAAGGTTTGGGGCAAAGTCCACGCCAAACAACAAGAGGTATAGCAAAAAGGTTCAATGCCTCACAATCAACGGTTCAATCAGTATAAATTTGTTATTCAAAAAACGGAAGTTACTTATGACTCAACCTAATAATATTTTTAAAAAATATTTTTTTTTTTCTTATTTTTTTTTTTTTTTTTTTTTTTTCTAATATGGGCTTAATAACCTCCTCGAATAAAACTATTAACTTGGGCAAGTCCATTCGGAAGAATTAGGCAAAAGTATATACTTTTTCTCGACTGTTACAAAATAATAATGCCCTTTAACACATTAATTTAGTCGAGATCGTACAACATAATTCGACATATCTGTTCAGATTTCTTCTACCATATTATTATTATGAATAGACATAATGGAGGGGCTTCCTCTTCATTTTCAACAGAGATATCTTTAATTACTAGAATATTTATATACAATAAAGCACTAACGGTTTGGCGCTGGCCAATGCAAGCAAAACGAAAAAAAAAAAAAACGCTTTGTTTACTGTTAAAGACTTTAGAAGATTGAATTTTGTGATTGATTACGACGTTTTACCACTCAAGCGTCCGTAGCTAATGATGAAAAATACTGCTTCATGTCAATATAAAATTCTTGATATGGGGAAGAACCATTTATCTTATAGCAAACGACAGCGAGTGTGAGTGAGAGAGAGATAGAGTGAGAGAAGGAGGGAGGGAGGCAGTATTCCAATTTATATATATACATATATATGCACAAGCACAAGCAAATGAGAGCGTGCCGCTCATATTAGTTGATTGCGAGCACTCAAGCCAAGCAGTTTGTCAAGCACAAGCATATTGAGAGTGACGGCGTTGTTGACGTTAAATTCGTTTTATATGTTAAATATTTTCTTTTTTATTTTTTCCCCCGCCGCAATAATAAGAACGAGAAAAAAGAACACGCGTTTGATTAGCTGAATTGCGAGAATGTCTACTTACCGTCAACCGGTGCATTCTGTACACAATAAACGATTCTGGACGGAATTTTTCAGTTTATATAAAAGCTTTCCCGCCTTGTGGGACACGAACAACGCAATGTATAAGGATCGTCAAATGAAATTCGAAGCTTACGGAGTTATGGTAGAAAAACTACGAGAAATCGAACCGAATGCTGAACGTGAAGATGTTTTGCGCAGAATAAACATATTTCGCACGAATTTTCGTCGCGAATGTTCACGTATTAGCAAGAATTTGCAAGAAGGTAAAAATTACAAATCCACCTTATGGTATTTCGATTTATTGCGATTTCTGCACGCGCAACCAACAAGTGATACCAGACGAGAGAAAAGACGTAAATTAAGTGAACCTGGCGAAAATAGTATTATGGTGAGAGTAAGAAAGAGAGAGAGAGAGAGAGAGAGAGAGAGAGAGAAACCATTATCGATGAAAGAGAAAAGCCTCGAATATGTAATTAAAATATTTTTTTTATTATTTTTAGCGTAAGCAATCTCCTGCCACAGCTCCGGGCAATAAATCAGCCCACAATTTTTCAGCAACTCCTAAAAGTGAGCATTTCATTGAGTATCAACCCCAAGAAGATTATGAAGTATACGTATGCGAGGATAGTATTGAGTGTGAATATTCAACAAATGATACCGTCGAAACTCTGATTGAAGAGGACGATCACTCTCTCAAACCATGTCAAAGTGCGGATAGTCGTAGCTCTTCGTCACAACTTAAACGGACCGATTATGCCGAAGATATTTTAGAAGCAGCCGGCGGAGGCAATAGCCGTAGCAGTTTGCAAGATTATCATCAAGAATTTCAGAACTTCGCCTTAGCACGTAATACGCAAACAAAAAAATATACTAAAAAAAATGCACGCCATGATTATGTACCAGAAACAACGCAACATCTCAATAATCAGGTAAAGAGATTTCGATGAAAATTGAAAAAAAAAAAAAATGGAAATGGAAATGAAAATTGAATGATTCTTCTCTCCAAAGAAGCCAACTGCAGATCCTGAATGCAAAAGTTCGTCCTTTACAAATGCAACACAACTTCAGCAACGACTTAATGACTCAACAATATTGCAGCCAATTAAAATGGAGCGCAGTGTTAAAACGACGACCTCAATGCCATCATCTATTGCCAATAACCTCATTACGAGCAATTCAAAATTAAGTAAATCCGCTGAAATTTTAGCGAAATCGTGGGCTTTGCAATACGACGAACTGATGGATGAACAAAAAATATTAGCACGCAAAGCTATAGCAGATATACTGTTCGAGGGTTGTATGTCAAATTTAACTATCGGTGCCAATGGTCGCGTAGTTATTGGTAAACCACAATTATAACAATAACAATAATAATAAAAATAATAGTAATAATAATAAAAAGAAAAATAATATAATTTTGTTTGTGTTCTTCCTTTTTTATTATTAATAATAATAATTTTAATTTTTTTTTATTATATCACACTAGCAAGAAGTGTTGACTTTGAAATGAGAAAAGCAGAAGAAAACGATGCAATATATGAGCAAAATTGATGAAGGCGCACAGGATGCTACACAAGAAGAAGTCACTACAAAATGGTTAACGAGTTGACAAGAGCATAATAAGAAGAGCGCCAAGAGAAATTGAAAAGAATTTAATGAAAAAAAAGTATATATATATATATATATATATATACCTCAGTGACCTGAAGCAAATTTATGTTGTATTGAAAATAAATAGTAGAAAATAATAAGAAGTTTAAAAATGAAAGTTTCTTTGGAACAATTAATAAATGGTAGCTATTATTATGGATTGCTTGATAGATAAACGAGTTGACATTACGAAAGGGTGTACAGCTAATTAATGTGAAGAAATGGATGCGTATTACGGTAACGTTTTTAGAAATTTTCATGAGGAAAGCTCTCTAATTCTACAACTTCAACAAGATGAATACAAAAAGCTTTTTCCAGGCTCTTTAACCTTCATTTCATTCTTCTAACAAATTAGCCTACGCTCCAAATGTACGATAAATGTACGATATGGTGCTCCTTAAATGGATTGATTTTTCTAAATAATTTGATATTCGCTTTTAAGCTTTAATTAAAAACGATTTGAAACAATTTGATATTTGTCCATAGACCTGTTTTTTTCGTATACGGAAATAGAAAGTGATTCGGGTGATGGAAGAACGTAATATCCTTCCAAATTCAATTATAATAATAATTTCTTGATGATGATTTACTTTCTTTGCCTCAGAAGTTTTTGTCGGGAAATCTGTACAAGCTGATTGACTAACTATTCCGTCTCGTGTTCGCTTTACTTAATGTAAGTGCATCAATAAGTTTGATTTCAAGCATTTCCAATGAATTTGAATTGAAATATGGAAGTAAGAGAAATTTAATAAGCGGAAGAGAGAGTAAAGTCCTTAATAAGCTGACATTTGATATAAGCTTTTCGCGCTTATTTCCCATCAGGGGGCAAGGACCACAATAAAAATGAAATTTTGCAAAGCATTTGTTTTTTGTACTTCGTTAAGCATCACTCTAACAATAGAGTCAATAAGGCAAACATTCGGTTTTAACATTGAACCGCGTATAAACATGTTCCATATGGACAGTAAGCATGCGCAAAATTAGAAGAGAATTAAAATCTAAAAATTATTTACTATTTAATGCCGAAAATTGAAAATTATTTTTCGTAAATAAACTAAGATATCCTGAAAATATAGGCGGCTTTCGGAGAGCTTGTTATAAAAAATGTTAATTTGCATAGCATAAGATATTTGTACTTGTAATTAATAACATGATCTATATTTTAACCGGTTCAAAAAATAATGTCAGTAAAAGCCCGTTGTAGACTTACAGCAATTATGTGGTTGTCTGTCTTTTGGCTTCATATGCCTGCACAAATGCGAAAATATTGCAATAAATAATAATTGCCTATCCTCCCCATATAACAAGAAGCCAGCTGGGTGTTCGAGTAAACCGTTCACTTCATAGTGTAACCCGAATACACAAGTCCAGCGGGAGAATGAAAACAGAAAATAAATTTGCAAAAAAAAAAAAAAAAAAAGAAAAAAGGAAAGAAAAAGCTTCATTCAATCCATATAACCGTGTTATCAATAAAAGTGCACAAATATATAGTACAACGGCCATAAACAAAATTTAATTCTCTTTTTCTGGCAGAACAACTCACTAAAATTCCATATACATATACATATATGTACACACAGTTACTCTCGTACCGTGACATCTTTATATACTATTCGCATTCATTTAACCAGTGTCATTCCCTCCTCTTAATATTAAACTACCTGAAATCCGTATGTAAAAGGTTCATGTGTGCTCTCTCATTCTCTCTTTTTCTCTATTGAGTTTCGTTTATACGCGACAGCCGAAACGCGACTATAGCCGGCCGCAAATGGTTCAGTGGTTCATATTCGTTGAAGCTTGTACTTGCACTCTCGGCGCTTTGTATAGCTTGTGTGCCTCTGCGTAAATTTTTCCAATTCCACATTCTTATTTTTGTCTTGACAACCTTCCTCTAATACACGGGTAGCTGGCTCTAATTTGCTTTGGAGAAAGCCTGTTGAGACCATACGTTGTTTGTGCTGTTTCAGTTGTTGCTGATAATCCTTGAGCATATCACGTGTTTGTTCCTACGACTAGGTAAACGGGTGCGTTAAGTTGCTTGCTTGTTTCGTTTTCTCTACACTAAGAGTTCTATCGGTGTGTGTTAAATATTTGCACATCATATACATTAAACAGTAATACAGTATAAAACGCAACCATTGTATGGCTCTCTCGCGATTACGAATACGAGTACTTTGTAAGGAGGGTGAAGGCAGTTGGTCGACATACTGCTAAAAACAGACTTCAAATAATACTCTTTGTCTTGGCGTGTCTTTAATCACCAGCAGCTGAAAAACTTGAAGAGCTTCTAAAAATGTCTAAAAAGGTATGTACGATATATAAACAAGCAGCTTTTCTTTTTAATTTTTCATTTATTACATACTGTTCCTATGCCTTATTGCGCTTCTATTAAATAGACAATTAAGCAAGAATGACTTCCTATCTTCCTATGTACATGCTCTTAATAAAGCTTGCAGGGCATGTTTTGGAGATGTTTCCAGTCTATAAGGTCATTGATGGCTTTTTAGAATGCATACTTCATGCGTAGATACACAAATATAGGAATAAATTTCGACAACTGCAGAATTAAAATTCAAGGCTTGTAGGCCAGAAATGCGAATCCAAATATTCACGATATTTTCTGACACTTGTCGCGGTATGTTGAGTCTGAGCAAAAATTAAAGTCCTTAATCCGTAAATCGCAATTTAAGTTAAGACACATAAGTTCTCAAACGGCTTGAATTTGAATTCGCAAAGAAATATATATAAGAAAAAAAAGATTATTTTGAAAAATTTTTCCGCCTTTCGTCTCCACATCTATGTTCATTTCCCAAATATTTATACATTTCCCAAAATACCTAGAACCGCTAATTTTAAGAGCAAGAAATATAAATTGAATCAGACTAAGAAACCTAATTGTCTGAATATATATATATACCTCAAGTTCAGAGCATCAAATCAATTAAATTACTTGCCAAATTCATTTCCAAGCTAATTGAACTTTGAAGAAATATCATGGAATATTATTTGATCAAAGCGTTTCAGGAATTTCGTATTAATTATTGTTTTTATTATCACATATCAAAGGCATTGCCAGGCTTAAAATTTGTTACTGAAAATAGCCGTGCATCTAACTCGACATAGGCCTCTTGAATTGCATTGTCATTACGGTTTAACAAAACGAAACAAATGGCAACTACTTTTTCTCACCATATCAAGAAAAGTTCATTTTGAATTCATAGAAATATATATATCAGTCGTTGAAATATTAATATTATATTCTCACAATTTTATTTAGCGCCTTATATAGAATTACCATATTTAAGTAAAATCTCCAGATTTTTTTTTTTTTTTAAGAAAATATGTAGACTTTATATGTGCTTATTGATCAATCCGTGGCAAAATATATATCGAGTTTTCTAAAGAAAGTACTCATTAGTTATATTTTGTCTATGGAAGAATGAAGCGTCTAATTTCGATGGACTTTTTACACTTTTTATTTTTAAAGAGACGAAAAACTACAAAGTGTGTTCTTCTTTGCCTTGAGCAGTCGAAATGCTATATGGCAACTGCATCTACCTCTACGGAATCTTAAATAGATAAACAAAGTAAATTCCGTATATTTAAGCCTTGCAGGCATCAAGGATTTTTTTGATTACTTGTCAGAATTTTTGATTATCATTACTTTTTAAATTACTCGAAATCATGTCAATTACATAAACAAACATATACTGGCTTTTATAGGGCTGCAATGTTATTGTTAATCAAAGTAGGCTTGGAGAATTTTGACACAAACGTAAAGCGCTAGATATTTTCTATACTTTTCTGAATCAGATAAATGCTCAAGGGCAAAAATATTAAACGAGGTAACTACAGCGTCCGTTAATGATTTATTAAGAAACTTAAAATATGATGTCTTTTTAACAATGGTAAGAATTTATCTTTTATTTTTTGTTTTTTTCTTTTTTCTTTCCAATTTGACATTTAGATGACTAAGTATACTCAAGAACGTATGTTATTAAAACACAAGCCACGAAAAATTTTAAATTTAGAAGAGCGTGTGCAGGCTATACGCATGTACGATGAAATACCGATTTATCAGCGAGTCGCGTTGGCCTTCAAATGCAGTTGGGAGCAAATAAAAACCATTATTGCAAATCGAAAAGAAATTTTGAAATATTATGCCAGCTGCCAAATAATCGATGTTATCAAAGATGATCCGAAAGTTGTTCGGCATAAGAAAATCAACTTTTTAGGCAATTGTATGTATGAGTATATAAAGCGGGCACATTTTCATCGCTTAATGAAAATAACGGATGATGTAATTAGGGAGAAGGCTTTGGAATTTCGTGATATTATAAAAATTGAGAAATTCTATCCAAATCGAGCATGGATTACAGATTTCAAATCGGTATTTAATATTGATTTAGAGCAAATCAATCAAATTATAATTACGCGTAAACCGCCAAGATCATTAAGTTGCCAAGATATAATAGCGTATTGTGCCAAAGAAGTGGATAATGCTTTGTCTTCTAAGCCGGGCAGTTCCAAAAATCCTATAATACCGGAAAATGATAAAAACACAATTGAAATAAATGACGATAATGAACAAAGTAAAGGACATAAATTGGATTATTGTGAAAACGATGAAGAAGAATTCGATGACATAGACGATGATGAGGACGATGAAGAAATTTTCAATGAACACGAGGAGGGACCGACAATTGATTTTAGCAATTACACCGAAGATTTAGAGACGAACGAAGACGTAAAACCAAATCTTAGCGATTTGCCTCCTTATACTGAAGACGAAAAGAAAACAATCAAAATACCGACGACGACGACAACTTCATTAACAACAACACCAATAGCAACAAAGGAAACGGCCACCGCAATATTAAGGCAATTGTTAACGGAAAATGAAATCAAACAAGAGAAGCCGGACAAGGCTGATAATAAAACTTCCAGTACCTCCACGCAAAGCCAACAACAGATAGCGCCAAAACGGTTATGCACTTCCACTAGTACAATAACTAATTATCAAGAGGCTTTGGAGTTCATGCGCCCACTAGAGGACTTCGCTTTAGCGCAAGAAGATTTTAAAGCCATTAATTTATTAAATCAATTAGCCCAACTCTACGAAAAGTCGACAAAACGTAAACGCTTTCATTAGCTACGCTCACGCCATGCATAATAGTTTTTGTTTTATAATAAATGTCATAACTGTACTAACACCTATTTGTATCCTTTTTTTGCGCTATTTTTTTTTTTTTTTTTTTTTTTTGACAAATTATAACATTGTGTGAAGAAAAGTCAAGTTGTGAAGAAATTATTCCGATAAATTATTCCTATGCCTTCCCTTTACACAAACTTTTTTTAAAATCGTGGCCATAGTAACTTTGTTAATCGTCGTTTTATCTTTAGTTTTTAGGAAATTTTTGTAAAAGCAATTATGTGCTAGACTTAGTTGATTAATGAGTTAATTAATGTAATTCGAAGGTTTTTTTACTGTCGTATTTTTGATAATTCCCACTGATAAAATCATGTACCTGCATCCTTACGTAATATTTCGCTAATGTCATTACTTCCTTCCTTATAAATTGTTAGGAATATGAAATCGCAATACGAAGACATCAATAAATAAATTCAATGATTTTAAAACATAGAAATAATCTCGTTCTCATCAATAGAGATTATAGTTTCGGGGTAATGGGAAAGCAAGTATAGGCACATATACATATATAAAAGACAATTTACCAAGGGGATGAATATATATATATATATCCGAATTTCTCTGGCAGATGAATGGACGAGAAATACTTACATCCACTTTGACAGAGAGTGTCTACTAATCTACTATTCATTTTTTATACCCACCATTAAAGGCTGGGTGTAGACCGGTATTGTCCTTTTTATCATAATGTATGTAACACTGGAAAGGAAGCTTCAGAGACTCTGTAAAGTAAGGGTAAAATTCTTGTTCGCAAAACTGAAAATATCGACTTGAAATTTGGTAGAAAAGCTGGAAGTTTTTGCACGTTGGTTGCTGGAAGGGCCAAACGGGCCAAATTGGTCAGAGCAGAGACTCGCAGTGGAGTAATCAAAATTCTTCCTCGTAGTTCAAAAATTATGAAAATTAGAAGGTCGAAATTTTCCACATTTACTTTACGAAACACTCTACTCTTTGCCAACAAAAACCGAAATAATGGGCCATGCCCATATAGAGTTACAAGTGATTACATTTTATTTTTTTTTCACTTTTTTGATGTTTTATGCCTATTTATCATAAGATAAACAAGACAGACTGTTTAAAAGTAAAGATATATTATATGCCTAAAATACGATATTTGATGAATACGATAGACGCCGCGACCTGATGGATTAATTTTTTCTTAATAATAAAAACTAAGCGATATGAGTGTCAAATAAAATAACTTGAAGAGTAGAATGCGAAAAGCATAATGGTGGGTATCCGAAATTCAGCCACCACCGATAATATAACTTTCTTACATGTTATTACCTGAAAGAATTTGCCTATGACAGACAAAATATTGTTCTCCATCTACACTTTTGCATATTTGCATATATTCGAGGGTTGCGCAAGAATACCAGGAAAAATAAACGAAAGAGTTTAATTTTTCAACTCTTCAGGTCTTTCGACCTGAAATGTGTATTGATTCATTTTTCATTTGCATTAGAGAGGCATTAGAGACCTTGTGGAAATATAAACTCTTAGCAATCAACTGAAAACTGACAAATGGCTTTGATTGATTGATTTATTTGCAATCAAAAAACAAAAAAAGGTTGCGCCTGATGAAACATGTTCATCTCAAGGCGATCATAGCTTCTTTTGGTTTAGTTTGTTGAGATTAACTGAACTAAGGCCTTAAAAATGGCTTAAA